AATTCAAGTTTTGTGCAAAAACGCATGATCGCTCCGGCCCGCCTGGTGCGTTCCAGCCTAGGTTTAGATTTTCCTGAATTATATTTCGTGGTAGGTTTGGACAAAATGCTAGAAAATATGGATTTTTCGACTTGAGCGCTGGAAAAGCTGCCTACTTAGCAGACCCAAATGAATAATTTATTGCTAACTACCAAGCACCAGCTAGTTGCGGGGCTGAAAAAAAAAACGCAGTGTCACTCCTGGGTACTAAGTTTAGAAATTTTTTTCGTGACCATAAATTTTTATTCTCAGTCACGAAAAATGCTTGAAATACTTCACATTTGTATATTTGATATTAAATAATGCCAAATTACTTATTGGACTTAATTTGCCCTATGTCCATTTTTATCTGTTCCATTTTACGAACTAAAATTTGGTGACAAAGTTATCTCAAAATTTTTTTCAAAATTTACACGCTACATCTCCAGGAACTGTTTATAATAATGGAGCAGTTCATCAGTTTGTGAAGAAATTTTCTAATGTGAATACTGTCCCATACTAGTGCCCCAAAAATTTGCTAAGAAATGTTCGAAGTCCAGAACTTCAGAAAGATCAAGAAGTCAAAGCGAAAATCGCCAGAATGTAGAGTTAAATGCATGACCGATAATTCTAATTTGCATATTTAATATTAAATAATGATATATTACTCTTACTGAACTTAATTTGCTCTATGCCTGTCCCATTTTACGAACACAATTTGGTGCTTAAAGTTCGATAATTTGATTAGAAAAGATAGAAGTCCAGAAAAGTTGGAAAAGATCGAAAGGTCAAAGTGAAATTTGCGAGAACGTAGAGGTGAATTGCATAACTGAAGCATAGCAGATTTGCTGTATTTCACATTCTTCATACATTTGAAGTCCAAAAAAAACTCGGAAAAACCACACGTTCCGGATACAGAGTGCCTGAATATGAAAGAAAAAAACAAAACCAGTCCCGTATTCAACCCCCCATAAAAGGTGGGGGCGCTCGGGAGAGCCCGAGTGGTACCAACAGTAACAATTCGTTGGCAAGGCTGGCGATGGCTCCTTCTTCCGAGAGTTGCTTACAAACAATCTGATGGCCGGTTTCCTGGCGTAAGCCAGCACCCATCGAAACGAATGACAAAGATGCCAGCTGCCCAAACCGCGGAATTAAACTTTTATCCTTCTATACAACAGCAGTGCTACTTCCCACTATAGTGCTACGCCCGCCACCAAATGTACAAATATTTAAGAATACGTTGCTAACATCTGATTGCTTTGACTGAAAAATTAATAAAGCGATGCAGTAATAAACAGCACTTACGAACTATTGAAGTGCAGACCAGAAAGAAAAAGAAAAGCCGATAGAACATGCAGGAAAAGCAGAAAACATAAGAATAAATCTGAACAAGAATGTTTCGGTCCATTAAATATGAGCCACAAAACTTTGAAAAGCAATGATGTACGGATGGGAAACATGGTCACTGACAAAACATTGGTTGTGACGGAAAAAGCGATAGAGAAAAAAATGCCTAATGTATTTCTTTGTGGCCACAACATGCAATCAGGTCCTCTGTCAGATAAGCGACGTACAGAATACCATTGTAGCTACGCGAAAAAGCAAAATCCAAAGGGCAGAAATGTTGCTCCCCTTGCTTACAACCAGTAGTACTACCAGTAAATACACCAATTCAGTTCAACACCATACATCGTAATGCTCTCCATGTGTTTTGCCATCAGAGACAGAGGACAACAGTAAGATCGCTAGATTAATCGGTTGAATATCGATAAGTTTTGTCAACGGTGTCTCCGCTTCCATCTGAGCGGTTTTCACGTCCTCTTGAACTCTTTCTTCAAAGTTCTTTGTCACAGTAAGTGATATCAGCAAGAAGTAAACGATCACTCGACCTTCACAGAAATGGCACACATACATCTGTTTACATTTGCTGTAACGGGGCTTCCCAGTTACACCATTTACTTGAGATCTCCGGTCAGTTTCCGTTTTTGTGGCAAAATCTGAATTTATGAATTTCTCCATTTCGGAGTCATCAGTTTGAATTCTGACCAATGATCGTGGCTGAAGAAGCACAGAAATTTTCGAAGGCCAATGTTTCAGGTCATTCACCCTGTCATCATGCGATCACATGAAATCTGCAAAAATCATAATTTCGTGTGGAGCTTCTCTCAGTTCTGAGTTACAACATCACTCGTATTCTTATTTTTGAGGTCACACGCTAAGAGGACTCAGTGAACTTTGCTAACCCCCATCCGTTATACATTACCTCAACGCACCTTCAACACTATGTTCTTAAAATTTCAACTTCATCAACACTTCTCGTTCCCAAGTTACAACAGATTAGTCGACTTTCTATTTCTTCCTGTCATCCGTCTTGCAAATTAGACACATGACTATTCAAAACGTGGCGGGTATGAGGCTGTACTGATGATTCCCACTCCTACCCGCATGCACTGTTCGGTCTATGTACAGCTAAGGGATGAAACACAGACTGCGTCATGTCTTCATACACATGACATTCAAGTGAAATCCTTCTATTCTTCTATTTTATACGCTCAGGTCAGAAAGAAAAGAATGGCGCCCCTACCTCATTTTGTGCCTCATTCGCTCAGTTACAGTATTTCAGCTCCATTTATGCGGTGTGTTTAATCCCTTTCCTACAGAAATGGACCGATTTCTGGTTGTTCTGCAACTCAAAGAAATAAATAACCTCAAAATCTCACCGCCCAAAACCAGTGGCCTTTCTTTGTCCTCTCGAGTTTCGTTCTTTTGTTTTTTAAGAAAATTGTTAATGACCACTGAGCTTACCTCATCAATCCAAAAATCGTAATACTGCTTCAACCTCGGTTCTTTTTGCATCCAATTCTTACCCATCTGTTCTTTTTCTTCGCTCTCTACCTAATTTTCAGGTCAATTTTCAATTTAATTTAAACCCAACAATTTAGTTTTTTAACTTAACAAATTATTACTTTATTTGTAATTTAATTTAAACTTGACAATTTAGCAATTTATGTTGACAAATTATTGCTTTATGCCTTAAAATTTTATATAAAATTATAAAACTCCGTTAGAATCGTTCTACTGACAAGGCCCTGTTGCAGTACTTCGGATAAAATGTATATGACTTAATGGACCGAAATGATCAGCTGTACATGTAACACTGATTTTAATTTGTTCCTGACCACATTTGTGTTTCTTTTACTTTACTTTTATTCACTTGCACCTAACTATCATAAGTGGATCCAGAATGGAATCTTGGGGTGAGGGAAGGGCGATGGGAAGTGGGGGACTGGGGGGGAGGAGAGGAAGGGTCCCACCCACCCTGGAACTATGCGAAAACCACTTCAAGTTAGGAAAAGAGTTGTAACACAGCTGCTTCCAGTTATATCATCCTAAATTTTTCATAAAGAAAAATGAACAATTTCCGTTTAACGGTCGTTCTTTGAAAATAACCCAGCTGTTCAGTGAGCAATTTTCCCGCCAAAACTTTTAACTGCCCGTACTCGAGAACCACACATGCCTGGAGACTGAATTTGAAATCTTTAAATGGTACTTGGATGAGAACATTCCCTTAAAATTTCAGCTTCCCAGTCTTTTCCTGAACTTTACTTTTATATTTATGAACAGATCCGGCCTTTTGCAGTAATGGTGATTGTGGCGCTGGAGGGAGGAGACTCCTCCTCCCACCCCTCCCCCTCTGCCTAGAATTCGTCCATGCTGACCAACACATACATGTCATTTTAAGACCAGTGGTCAGTTAATGGCAGAGGTGCGCTGACCAATTAGCGCTGGTTTTTTTGGAGGAGCAGGTGGGGTAGGGGTAATACTACAACGAGATATCACTGCTGCTCGTTGCTGACCTCTGGCTCCATCGGTTACAAGGGTCATCGCGGGTAACTATGCCCAGTTGTTGCCCAGGGGACAAAGGTCACGTCTCTACAGTGACCGCTGCGAATATGGCTATTTTTCCAAGTCCACAAGCATGCTGCTCCGAATCGGTGACATGAAAAAATTTCACAAATTCCCACCCGCAAAAACCCTCTCCCCTCCGAAATCTACCCGAAAAACCCGCAAAATCGGCCCCCCCACAGTGGAGCACTATTTCCCGCACAGCCCCCCTCAATTGATCAGCAGGCGGAGGAGCGTCGCGTGTCGCGTTGCGGTCGTTGTGGGCAGTCCGAGGATGTGCGGGACGCGCGCGTCGGCGTGCGCGTTGCGGTCGCAGGGCAGTATAAAAGGGGTGCCGAGCCGGGTAGCTGGCATTCAGTAGTAGCTCGGCGGCGTTTTGCGCACACACACACAGCACATTGGTTCACGTACGTTCACGCACGTTGAAGCACCCGTACAAAGCGACGTGGTCTCTCTCTGTCTCGGAGCACTACGTTTCACCACAAACATATACATACACACGCCAATTGTGTGTGTGTGTGTGTGTGTACGTGTACGCACGTCTATTGCGCTGCGGTGGTGTACGTACACCATCCAAATTGCAACCAGCGTTTCGCGGTTGTGCCAACGTGTGTGCGTGCGAGCAAAGTAACAATCCCCCGAGTTTGCCCAGGAAGGGTTGGATTTGGGTACCCTTACCCTTGCGACTATCCCTGGAGCAACAGGCCTCTTGCTTTGCGGGAAATTGTAGCGCACGCTCGGCTTCAGTAGTAGTCGGCTTCTTTTTTTTAGTGGTTAGGGCCAATTAAGGTCTAAAGAGGTCAACGAAGGTTAAGAGGGACAATGACCGCATCAACCACATTAGGGGCGGGGCAAAAGCAGCAGCAACAGCAGCACAGCAGGTCACCCGAGCAGCAGCAGCAGCAAGGGCAGCAGCTGCGGCCGCGACTGCAGCAGCAGCAGCAGCAGCAACAACAACAACAACACCAGCAACTACTGCAACTGCACCAACAACCGGATACTACTGTTGTAGCAGTGGATGCAACGGGTGGTGCAGCAGCAGATGTCCACGCTGATGCCCATTCCCGGAATATCCCGGCACTTAGCAACAGCAACAGCAGCGATGGTGCAGCGGTGCAGCAGCAGAGGCAGCATGATGAATTGGAGATTGGTGAGGAGGATGCTTGTTCCCCAATGACCAGTCCCCCGGATCGTGGCCCAAAGAAACGATCCAGAAGGAGGTTTGCAAGCTTTTTTCATCGGCCTATCTTTTGTGTGAAATTTTTTGAAAAAATCATTTCGCTTCGTCCGATAATTTTCGGATTTCTGACTGTTTCGAATTTATCGAAAAATAGCTCCTGTGAGTCCGAAAATTTTATTTAAAATATTCAAAATCTTAGCCGTTTTGAAATTTCCGGAATTCTATTCGTCTGAAAATTTTCGAAATTCATTTCGTCGGGAAATTTTCGAAAATTTTATTTGGAATATTCGAAATATGAAAATTTTCGAATTACCTATTTCATGGGAAATTTTCCGAAATTCATTTCCTTGGGAAATTTCCGAAAACTTTATTTGAAATATTCAAAGTCTGAGGATTTTCAAGATTCATTTAATCAAAAAATTTTCAGAAATTTAATTTGAAATATTCGAAATCTGAGAATTTTCGGAATTAATTATCGAAAAATTTTCGAAAATTGGTTTCGATGTACTTGAAAATTTTCGAAAATTGATTTCAGTTCCCAATTGTGTAAAAATTACGAAATGATTTCTTTTTGTTCGAAATTTTTCGAGAAACGGTTACTGTTGGTGTGAAACTATCCAAAAAATAATTTTAACTTTCAAAACTTTGAAAAATAACTTTGATTTTTGCGAAAATATCCAATAAATCTGGAGGAAATTTTCAAAAATATTCGAACATTCAAAAAGTTCTACAAAAATATCCAGAAAACGTCAAGAAAATATTTAAAAAACTTTCTGCTCGCATCTTGAACATTTTTCCGCACGGGATGGCACATGTATTTCGGGCACTTTTAATAGGCTTTCCCAGAGGGTAACTTTACAGCTGGGATGCTACTTACAGGAAAAGTTGTGCTTTTTTCTTGACTTTTTTGGGAGTTTTTTCGCAAATATTTTAAAATGATTTTTTTCCTCGCAACTTTTTGTTTTTTTCGACTTTTTTTGAGGTTTTGTAGAAAATTGTTTGAGCTTGGAGAGGGGAGGGAAGAGAGGGGGGAGGGGGATTTTGCTTTTTTGCTCCAAAATTCATTTCAAAATATCAACAAACCTAGCAAAATACAAAAAGCTGAGTAATAGCGAATTTAATTGCAGGCGAGGCGGCCGGGGACGTTGGAAGCCGTATCACAAATTATCAGTCGAGGAAAAGCTTGCGAAGGAAGAACGAGAGGAGCGCAATGCAATCGAAAAAAGAGAACGGTTCGTTTTTTTTTTT